TACCAACAGTGTAGTGCCTCTACACTACCATGTACCAACACAGTATACTGCCTCTACACTACCATGTACCAACGTAGTGTATAACCGCCTCTTCACTACCAAGAATACCGCAGCTTGCTGGTACGGTAATTGTTATTCGCCGGCCAAGTGTCTAATGTCGCTGCCACAACGTTGCCAAACCCGTTTACCCTCCTCGGTTATTAAGTTTAAAGCTGACAGCAACACAATGCCAAGCCTCCCCCTGTTGATCACCAAGTAAGGGTGAAAATCCTGAAATTTTAGAACCACGTTGGGGATGTGCGCAGTAGACGGTGCGCCAAGCTCCATTTTTTACAGGTAGAAATGGGGAAGCGTTCTGAATGATTTTCATGGAAAGGTCGAATGTGAATTAAGGAGAAAGCTCGGTAATGGTGAGCCAGAGTTATGGTGGAATGAGGGGATTTGTGGGAGGTGGATCAGTGGTCATATATTTAGTGGTCGCGTCATTAGGCTTTTATTATTATTTTTATAGTATTATAGTTGTTGTTTCTGTCGTGTTCATTAGCATCGTATTTTTGATTGCTAATAATACGGTTCCTCCTCATGCATTGTGCTATATTATGGGTACTTACAGCACGTTCATTACTGTGGCATAGTGAATAGATTTGATTGATCTTGGCGAGGCCTTGCTACTTATATGTTGTATAACATAGAATTATATTATGTATAACATTCAATGCACCACATTGAACATCACACGAACGCACAATCTCAGCTCTGTGCGTGTGTGTATTTATGCACTTAGTGACGGCAACTTTTTATTCTAATCCCTTCCATTTACTTACCTGTGATGGAAAAGGGGTTTGGTTTGGGAATTATGTATATGTATATGCGCTCTGAATTATGAATTATGTATATATGCTATGGCTGTATCCAGAATTTTTTCAGTTACAGCCCCGCTCCTGTGCCAGGTAAGTCCACTACGGGCTCACCATAGCCCGTGCTACTTGGAACTTTTTTTTCCGAGTAGCTGAATCTACAACAACAAACAACATCCAGGATTTATACTCAGGGATCACAATTAACGGAGTCCATCCATAAATATACATTTTTATTGGTAGGAACTTAATTGACAAATGATAGCTAATAGATGCTTATATGCCTTTTATACCTTATATGCCTTATATGATGTTAATTATATACCGTGCCCGAAACGCTGTGCGTATTAGGTGTTGTATGAACTAACTCTATCTATAAACCCAACATTATGTTTGTAACTCATTTTCTATATATGTACTTTTACCTGAATAAACATTTGAATTGTAATTTGATGTCTCTCTATTACTACAGCAAATGCATAAAAACTAGAAATTGAGAAGTGCGTACAGTTCACGTACCTGCCTACCATGGAAAGTACCCATACATTTCCATTACCACTTACTCCTCTTATATTGAGTAAATTCATTTCGGACATCTGACTCATTTGTGCCTCTTGTTATCATCTGCCATTTCATTCTGCTGTTCTACTGTCTACTTGGGAAATTTTCCTTGGAATTGTTGATGTCGTTATCATGTATCCAGTTTTCCTTCTTTGTACCAGTATTCAATCAATATTTTGTCGTACCTTGATTGAACACCTTAGTTCAATCTGTGCCTTAGTCCATATACCTGAGTCCTCTTAGTTCAGGAACAATCTTTGTTGCCTATCTTATTTTTTTAGTTTAGCTTTGTTTAGTTCATTTCATCCTTCTAAAACGCAAGTAACTATCTGGCCGAAAGCAATAGTATGACGTGATGAACCACCAGGTAGAATTTAAAATTTTGTATTATTGAATTTGAACAAACCAGAAAAGTTTTTATCAGCAACATACATATAGAACCTTACCTATCAATCCTAAGCCTAATACACCCTATGTAAGGCCTAATATAGCACATATATATGCTACGCTTAGGAATATTTTTTCCGAATTCTTATACACTCAATAACAAACATTTTACTATCTGTTGGTTCATCACATTAAATTGGTACTTTCGACAAAATAGTTTCTATAATTACTATAATTTCAGGTTTATTTAGGTTCCTTGCCAAGACTGCCTACTCAAAAGCGAGTCTCACATTAGTTGGATATACCGTGCTATTCGCACGCGTTTTCGACTTTTAATTATTAACATACAGTACTTAAATATATAATATTTATGCAACTATCATAAACTATATGAAGGGTTACAAAGCTTAAATAAATTAACTAGCTATATGGCAGTAAGAGTCCCGTCTGGTAAGATGGTTAGTCATACAGCCATCATTAATTAATAAATTAATAATTAATTAATAATTAATCATCATTAACAGCCTCCTAAAATGATGGTACAGAGAGCGACCATGGATTATGTGTACAAGATGTACGTTCTTACCAAAAAACATTACGTTGTAATGTTTAATGTTAATAATAAAAAAAAAACATATAATGTTGTAATATTATTGTAAAGATAATGAGCAAGAGAAAAGCGTAAAGAAGTAAAGAAGAAAAGCGTAGAGAAATTAAGGCATTTTCCTAACGTTTCGTACACCACGTTTAGTACAAGTATGTCTCCATTAGACTTGGGATTGTTTATATTAGACATAGGAAAGGATTATATTAGACTTAGGAAAGGATCCAGCAAACTGAAGGAAGACACTAACATGCATTGTTAGTGTCTGCAGGCGATGAGCTGAATTGTCGATGAGTCGACGAAAAGTCGGAAATGCAAGCTGTAAGTCCTGTACTGCACAAGGTGCTTGAATCGGTAGAGTATCAGAATGCAGTGAACGTGTAGATGAATCTGCAACCCTCTTGTTAGATGTTTAGTCTTGATGTCGACTCTCTGTTCACTAATGTTCCGCTCGATGACGTTCTCTCTTTCCTTAGACAGAAGGCGTCAGAGGGTCTCCTTCCTCTCTCTCTTCCCACTGACGTTTTCCTCGATCTCATTAGACTCTGTGTTGAATCTAACTCTTTCTCTTTCAACGGTAAATATTACACTCAAACTTTCGGTGTCGCTATGGGTTCCCCTCTCTCCCCTGTTCTTGCTAATTTCTACATGGAATACTTCGAAACTGTTCTTCTTCCTTCTATTGATACTCGTCCCTCTCTCTGGCTTCGCTATGTTGATGACATTTTTGCTTTATGGCCTCATGACCTTAATCTTTTCCAGCCTTTCCTCGCCTCTCTTAACAATCTGGCTCCTATCCATTTCAAAGTTGAGTGGGAATCTAATTACCTCCTTCCTTTTCTTGATGTTCATGTTCACAGCTCTGTGTCTGGGTTCTCTTTCTCTGTCTACCGTAAACCCATGCATAGTGGCATGTACATTCACTTCTTTTCCTACCATCCTCCTTCTGTTAAGAAAAGTGTCCTCGTCTCTCTCTTCCTCCGCGCTCTACGCATCAGCGACCCTCAGTTTCTTGATTCTGAAATTGCCTTTATCTACAAATCATTCTCTCGCCTTGGTTATCCTTTGCATTTCATTAACTGTGCCTACTCTCAAGCTAAACGAAATTTCTTTCATCCTAAACCTGCTTCCAACACTAGTAGCACTGTACTATGCCTTCCCTTCATATTTGAACTCAAAACTTTTACCAATACCTTTCGTCCTCTTGACATTAAACTCGCCTTTCGACAAACTAACACACTTCGTAGTAATCTAGTTCACACTGCTCCTCCTGCTTCTAATGCTGCTGGTGTCTACTCTATTTCCTGTTCATCTTGTCCTCTCCAATACTTTAGCGAAACTGGCCGTACACTGAATGACAGACTTAAAGAACACAAGAGAAGTGTTAAGTCTGCAGACACTAACAATGCTCTCTTCTGCCATGTGAGGGATTCTAATCATCCCATTGATTGGTCTTCCTCCAAAATAATCTTTCCTGCCTCTACTCTACACAGACGCCGTCTTGTAGAATCGGCTCTTATACACAATGTACCCAACATGAACTTGAGTCCTGGCTTTGTTGCTGTGGACTCTTCCCTTTCACAGTATATACTCAAATGCTCTAATCTTTCTAACAAACGTGACTTAACATAAGCTTACCCCTTCCATTTATCTTTCTTTTTCTTTTTCTCTTTCTTTCTCTCTTCTCCCTTTTTCTGTTCATTGTCTTCTCCTACGCTCCCTTGCTATCCTCTTCTTATTCCTATTACTATCTCCTTCGGTGGTTATAATGGGAGCTGCCTCGTATGGGCCAATAGGCCTTCTGCAGTTCTCATTATTACTACTATCCCCTACACCTTACTTTCCTCCTCGGCTCTCTCTTGCCTATTTATTGCCTGTCCCTACCTGTCCTCATCCACGAGACATCTCCCGTCACGCAGGGTGCAGTCGCACCTCCAGTATCATCTATTGATACTGGAAATGGCTCAAAAGGGCCACCACTTATGGGCTATTCATGCCCATGCCACCTTTTGGGTGGCTTAATCTTCATCATGCTCAAAAGGGCCACCACTTACGGGCTATTCATGCCCGTGCCACCTTTTTGGTGGCTTCATCTTCATCAATCATCATCATCGTGTTTGACAGAACACCATTTGGTCCGGGAGACATCTCCCGTCACGCAGGGTGCAGTTGCGCCTCCACAGATCTCCAGTATCATCTTTTGATACTGGTAAATGGCTCGAAAGGGCCACCACTTACGGGCTATTCATGCCCGTGCCACCTCTTGGGTGGCTTATCTTCATCAATCAATTATCATCAATTCACAAGGGAGACATCTCCCATCATGCAGGGTGCATTCGCACCTCCACAGATCTCCAGTATCAGCTCTTGATACTGATAATGGCTTAAATGGCCACCACTTACGGCAATTTATGCCCGTGCCACCTTTTGGGTTGCTTCATCTTCATCAATCAATCAATCTGTCCTCATCACAATCGACTTGAGAATGGTCCAGGACGGACAGAAACGTCGTCGTCCCTTCAACTTTTAGTGTGTGGTCTGGTCAACACACTACGGCCTTTGGACACAAAATTAGGACTGCAGCAATGGCGTCATTGTGTGTGATGAGCCGCTGTTGTTGAGTGGTAGTGGCGACGCTGTTGGCCACAGAAGTTTCGAGATTTTTTAAGATCTGTGCGTGCTATCAGTGCCACCAGCTCGCCATGCTCATTAGTTATAGGTAATTTACCCTTCTTAGAGCGTTGAAGAATCTCATTTGCCTTATCAAGGCTGACTCCTGCTGGAGCAGTGACAAGATCATCGAACGGGGTCATAATTTCTGAAAGCAGTTTGTCAGAGTTTGGTTCTAGGAAGTCTATGTCGCGAGATGTAACAATGCCCAGCAATCTGGTGCCCATCTTGCCATCTGTGATTGGGATGCCGCCAAACCCGTGTTTTTTTTTTACGTCAAATACATCAGATACCCTATACTGTGGCGTGAGGCAGACAGGATCTCGAATGAATCCATGTTTGTATTTCTTAACCTTCATTACTTCCTGAGCATGAAACTCTGGAGAACAGTTGTGGTGAATGAAACCTATGCCACCACAAAGAGCCATGGCTATAGCCATTTCAGACTCTGTGACAGTGTCCATTGGGGGTGCCTTCAGACTAATCTTCTTTGACAATGCTGATGTCAAGTCCACTTCCTCTGCTGTGAAGTCAATAAAGCCCGGAAGTATAATGAAGTCATGGTAGGTGAACTGTGCGCCGGTATTGCCATCCTCCGGTACATAACTGGTCCCACCGCATATCAGATAATACGCCATCTCAAAATTTGTAATAGTGTGTAGCGACAGAGCTCAAGTGTTACACAATGTCACTTAATCCAAGTAGGACAGTGCTCGCCCTGCTCTCTGATCCACCCGATCTTACCGCGTGGACCTATATTCTTAGAAACTGTTTCCTTCTGCTGTTTAGCTTGAGTCTATTGATCTTGTTTGACTTCTGGTGGATGACTTGGAAGAGAAATGTGCAGCTGAAAGAACATGAAATCTTCATGTTTTCCTGCTAAAAGTTGAGCGACACTAGGTTCTGGAGCTTTTTCTCTGGCTGGTAAGCCACCCTTCACAGGCACTTTCTTATCTTCCACCTTTTGGATTTTTTTTGTCTAAAGACTCGAAAGCTTCATTGGATTCAACTGGCTCACTTTTGTTAATTGTATCCAAAGATACAATTAACACCATCATGGGATGAATGTATCGAAGATGTAGTAATTATTCCCTTTATTTTCTTTCATGGCGAGCCTCAGTAGCCTCAGTCATTGATTGATAAAGATTAAGCCATCTAAGAGGTGGCACGGGCATGAATAGCCCGTAATTTCAGTCATTGAAATTTGCCGCTTTCTAATATATCACAAAAAAATATCCTCTTGAACACAGACTTTAATTGTTCAATTTCATCTTGTTCAGCACTTGTACACCCACTACAATCAGAAGTAATGCTAATTGTTATCTATGCCTTCAACTTTGCTTTGTGTAAGTCAGTTCTCCTTTGCCTTTGTTTCAACATTTACCGCCACACTGGGTTGAACGCTGCCATCATAAATAGATAGTTCATTTTCCTGAGACTCTTCCATCAGTGATAAGAACATAAGAACATAAGAACAAAGGTAACTGCAGAAGGCCTATTGGCCCATACGAGGCAGCTCCTATTCTATAACCACCCAATCCCACTCATATACTTGTCCAACCCGTGCTTGAAACAATCGAGGGACCCCACCTCCACAATGTTACGCGGCAATTGGTTCCACAAATCAACAACCCTGTTACTGAACCAGTATTTACCCAAGTCTTTCCTAAATCTAAACTTATCCAATTTATATCCATTGTTTCGTGTTCTGTCCTGTGTTGATACTTTTAATACCCTATTAATATCCCCCCGGTTATGTCCATTCATCCACTTGTAAACCTCTATCATGTCACCCCTAACTCTTCGCCTTTCCAGTGAATGCAACTTAAGCTTTGTTAATCTTTCTTCATATGAAAGATTTCTAATTTGGGGAATTAACTTAGTCATCCTACGCTGGACACGTTCAAGTGAATTTATATCCATTCTATAATATGGCGACCAAAACTGAACTGCATAATCTAAATGGGGCCTAACTAGAGCAAGAATAGCTTGAGAACCACACCAGGTGTCTTGTTACTAACGCTGCGATTAATAAATCCAAGTGTCCGATTTGCCTTATTACGAACATTTATGCATTGATCCTTTTGTTTTAAATTCTTACTAATCATAACTCCCAGATCCCTTTCGCAATCCGACTTCGCAATCACAACACCATCTAGCTCGTATCTTGTAACTCTATCATCATTACCTAACCTCAGAACTTTACATTTATCAGCATTAAACTGCATCTGCCAATCCTTTGACCATTTCAAAACCCTATCTAGATCAACTTGAAGTGATAGTGAGTCCTCCTCCGAATTAATTTCCCTACCGATTTTCGTATCATCGGCAAATTTGCAAATGTTGCTACTCAAACCTGAATCTAAATCATTTATATATATTATAAACAACAGAGGTCCCAGGACAGAGCCTTGAGGCACTCCACTTACAACATTTTCCCACTCTGACTTGATTCCATTTATACTAACTCTCTGTTTCCTTTGGTATAGCCATGCCCTAATCCAGCTTAATATAGCACCCCCAATACCATGAGACTCTATTTTTTTAATCAGTCTTTCATGTGGCACTGTATCAAAAGCTTTGCTAAAGTCAAGGTATACAACATCGCAATCCTTACCACTATCAACTGCCTCAACAATGCTATTGTATCAATGATATTGATACAATATCCTCTTCCTTACTTTCTTCCTTCTTCGTTTCACTATCTTGAGGGTCGGTCGCAGCTTCGACGAGCATAGCCTTAAGATGGATTATATTGCCAAACTAACCTATGCCTAATTATACTAAAATTATACAAGGCAGACTGTAGAACAACACGTCCCACCCGGTTTAAATTAATATACTAATGAATAGGATAGCATCCGAAAGATACTCATATGGAATAACTCCAAAAATATATACCAATGATATTTTATTTAATGATAATAGGATAAAAAACCTACACATGTGTACTTGTGAAATTTATGTAAGGAATCACATCTTCTGCCACGTTATTGTGACGCAACGTCTGCATGAGGCTACATCTCTTGTTTCTTGTTTTGGTAATGGTAGACTAGAATTTATTTCTTGTCTCAATAAACATACTTGAATTTGAACTTGAAGCCAGACTAAACAAGGTGGAGAAAGTATAAAATGAAG